TATCATTGCCACCTTTTGTAACAGCGGATGCTCCCTCTTTCACCCTTGGCCAAAGGCAGCAGTAAATTTTTCACAGTAGTAAGTCTGAAAATAGCTATTCCATTTTGAGATGTAAAAAGCCCCTTGGTAAAAAATAACTTTACCCCACATAGATTTGAACATCCAGCATGTCTCTCTGGTCTTCACGTGTTATCTCTTTTGATCCCCCTCTTTCCTTCGTAAAAAGTTCCTAATTATTTCCTGTCTTTCATGCGTTCTACCAAATCGGCGGCAGTGAGATTAATTGGATGTAGGGCTATACGATTCCTCTCTCTTTGACATTTTGGAAGGGAAGATGCAACAGCAACAGGCATCTTTGATGTCCACAGAATGCGTGGGTGTTTTAAACGTGGTAATAGGAGTACGTCATCATTGGAAAACAAAAAAATTCCCTTTACTCCCCCTAATTCATTCATTCTATCATTCTCTTTTTTCTACTTTGCTGATAGTCTGTTGTAGGAGGGTATATGCTGGTAGTCCGATGTGCACCGTCCCCGTCTGGCGTAGAGGCGAGTAAAAAATAGCGTTTCTAAAAGAATTACTCGCTTTTGATGTTCACCTACTGCAACCGACTGCGTTTAGGATGTGTGAAGAGGTGTAACCCGAAGAGGAAGCAAAAAGGAACATTGATCGATGGAAGCCCATTTTCACCACCGTTAATATTAATTGAAGCCTCGTAGACTTTTCACTTTCTTTTCGTCTAAACCCTTCTAATCCTCAAAACATTGTTTTTAACCGAATATTAAAGCTTCTTGGTCGGTTTTTTGACAACAAAACTTCAAATTTTAGTATACCGTATTTTTTCTTGCTTTTTTTCACAATCCTACTTTGTTGAAGGATTATCACAGTTCACGATTTCCTGGAAAATTTCGCTTTTATTTGCCGACTAATTATTTGACTGTCGGCAACGCGGAAATGCTGGGACTTCCTGAAGAAACCAGAACATTCGAAGAAAGTGGCAGCTAAGTAGACACGGAGAGAACAGAAGATGTGTCGGGGACATTTCGCGTTTAGGCCAACTGGAAGGGAACGGAGTCTTAATGCTTGACTATGCACGTAGAGGGTGTTTGGAGGATGATCTCGCCGATCTGTGCATCGACCGCTTAATGGGTTGTTTAGTTGATTCCTTGCTTTGAGGATATTAGAATGACACTTAATTGTTTGGCATCTATTGAGTCATGTACTTGCCCCCAAATCCATAACCTAACTTTTGAGTGGTTGTGTGTGGGAAGAATTTAGTTTGACAATTGGTCGTTCACATTGGCTTTATGTTCTAAAATGAACAAGACTTTAAGTATTCAAAAGGGAATGCAAGGTAAACTTTATGGTAAACATCAGTAAGCGGAACCCAGTGACGCACCTGACAATTTTAATCATATTTGAGGGTCCGGGAGGAGCAAAGAGGATGCACGGAAAGTTGACAAGCGCGTTGTTGTTGGACTCTAGGAGGCAACAGACTACGAGACATGGGGTACGGGGGAGTAATTATATTCAATTGACTAAGATCTTCTCTCTCTTCCCTACTTCATGAGATAATTGCTATGGTACTTGACAGGAGATATGGCGGTTAAATGTCAGAGCCTTTCGGCCCAATGGCATTGAGGCAGACTGGACACTCAAACAACACAGAACGTTCCTACGCTTCAAGAAAAAATGTCGTGACTATTTTTGCGTCTGGAAGACATGAACACAATGATCACAGCCTGTCTGCAACCATCACGAACGAAGAATTTGACTAAATGCGACAACGCGATTGGCTACGAGTCCTGACAACCTGCTAGTGTTATATTTCTGCATTTCGAAAAGCTAATTGTCTGAAAACTTTGCAAGACTGAGAGAGGAGAAGGTTCCTTAACTTTTTCCGAATAGGAGTCACATTTCGAAGGTGATTTAACGTTGTCAACATGCAGTTTTTTCCTGAGCAAAATAAAAACTCCCATGATTCAGCTAAAACGAAGCTTTTTAGAAAAGGAGGCTAATTTGCAAATAGAAACTGTAAATCTATTCACTGATGTCTGTTAAAGGCCAAATTACTAAGGATAATTGGCTGCATAATTGGAACGACAAAATGTTGATAAGAGGATAGGAAGTGGCCTTTAGCAAATCCCATCTCCCCAAATGCCATGTTCTCCATGCAGACGTGTGAGCTGATTAAAATTTCGTTCAAAATGATGATTAGCTTAAATAAAGTTTAAGTAATGAATAAAATGAACATGTTGAAACATGTTTTCAACTTAGTGCATCATATTTGATTCTTTATATCAAATTTTACTACTATTTCCGGACAACCTTCTTTTCGCAGAGGGAGAAGTGGGCTTGTTCTTTATTTATGCTTTTCGAGAGGTGGGCCAATTTAGCTCTGTGAGCCGATGAGTTGACGACACACTGTCTGGAATACATTTGTTGTGTACTTTTCATCAGACTATTTCGATCGTAACAAGAAGAAAGAGAATCGATTTTGATGCTTTGTAGATGGACTTTTCTTCATACATTGTTGACTCAAATCTCGTGTCAGATACCGACTCTGATGGCTGTTGTCAAAATTCTGTCCGCCTTAGCGCCACCACATCCGAACAGCGGGCACAGATGGGGTTTGAGCATCTGCTGGGTTGTCAAGAAGTTGTCAACTTACCGCGGTGTAGAGTGGGGCCTAGAATGGTGAGTGGGGGGGAGGGGAAGGAGTGAGAATGGTGATGGGGTGGGAACGGAAGAAATCAGGCATATAACGCGGCAACCACTTGTCAACAGGGTGGCCGTCTCTATGGCTTTTTCTGTCCTCGCCACTTCTGCTGACAGAGGGACTGAACTTAATCTGCTTGCATTCCAGAGGTTTTTGACTCCAGTCTGACAAGGGATATCAGAGATTGTTTGACTGCCGGAGTAAGCAGAAATAAAACGAATTACTTCAGTAATAAGGGGAGAGGAATGTCACAATGTATTGGCAAATTGAGAGGTATGGTAATTTGTATGCGTATAGAACTTGGTATCCTGTAAAAAACACGAGTTCCAGTGTGATATGGCTTAGAATGAATCTAAATGAAGATAAAACAGTCTGGTGTGAGTCACCAAAGCTTGACTTATTTGGGTACCATCGTTTGCTATATCGCCAGTTATTTAAGAAATTAGGTGTGTGTTTAAGTTTACCTTTCTGGGCAGCAAGTGGATGTTGGAATAAACTCGTTGCTGTGTTGGATGTTACCGCTGTCTAGAAAGACGACATACTTTTACCCTCCGCATGCCATACCTAAGGACGTCTTTCACCACTCATCCATTTCTTAAGTGCGAACCTGAAACTGGAGAAACCCGGGTAACGCAGGTTTATGACTCCTAATTAAAAAGTTCGTAGGGGAAATTTCCAAATACAAATGAAAACATTTGCAATTTAGAGACGAGGTGGACAAAAAATTAGCAGGCCTAAAGATACCAAATATGAAAGGTAATAAGTAATGCGCCAACATTTGTCACCACAGTAAGGCCACACTTTCATCCCATAAAATACAGACGAAATAATGCGCGCTTGACGAGTCCTTGCATGGTATCAAGTGTCAAATCAAAGCTATGATGCTTTAAACTATTCACTGCAGTCTTTTGCGTTAAAAAAACTGTGTGCGTAGAAGTGGCCTTTCTTCACTTTGAAGCATTTGCTTTTATCCTAAAATTTGCATGTTTGGAGATTTCGTATAACTTAACTCATACTGCTTAAAGATATTTAACTTTAAAAATTTGTGTAAAAGTGTAAATGTTGCTTTTAGCCCAACTTAGGCATCAGCTTAGAACATATTTTAAGGTATTTCATATGGTTCGGCCAAATATACACTCCAAATGGCGTAGTTTAGCCTTATGCCTTGCAGTTACCAGTGCATTTAAATACACATTCAATGTTTTGTACGTCTCTCACTTTCCAATAGGAGGACCACGATAGAGAAAGGACAATTCGTAGTCAAGAGATGATTTATAAATGCGCCTTACGTTCATCACTGTCTCATCGTTGAGGGCCGTGCCTTAAAAAAATATGTATCTTATCCAGCGGATGATGTTGCAAAACATTAGCACTAATGACTGCCTCTGTAAGGCAGAATATAAAGTTGGATATATAGGGTTAAGGGTGAGCTGATGAATAATGTAGATACCTCATAAAGAGTAAATTTTTAAAGAATATTTTTAAATTTACTAATGTTAGGCTACGACTGAAGTATAACGCATGCTGCTGCCTTTTTGCCATAGAATTTGATAATCGGATTTAAGAGAAGCTCGATAAAATCCCTTGAATTTAATCCACAAAGCGGTTCACGATGACTGTTGTTGATAATAATAAGGGCCAAGGCAGTGAAATTGCAATGAGAAGAAACTCCTTCAAGGTATCCAATGCAGCGCTAATATCTATAGCAATAAACGGATCATTACACAACAGTTACTGCCAAGAGAACTCGTCCATATGCATCAAACATTATCGCCAGAGCCGCTACCGACAATCATTTCAATCACACACCGCAAATACGCATGCATACATCACTAAGAAGCGACAGTATGAAAAACACAGATTGACATGATGGTTATTGGGTGTAGCCATGTTTCATGCTTCCATGCACACGACGTCTCACAACAATAGACTGCGTCTCACAGACATTTGGGCAAGATGTGCTCACAAACCACTCAGCAAACAACATTCTTGCCCCACAATCACACCTGACGTTAAAGAAGGGGCTCCAAACAGAAACTTGCTCTCTCTCTCTCCTCCCTCCCTCCCTCCCTCCTCTTGCTCTCTCGCTCTCTCGGTCTGCCACCCTCTGTGACTTTGCAAAGAGCTACCAACGTAGCTCGATTACATTTCAAGCCTGTGGAGAGGTGTGATGCAATCATACGCGAATCCTCTCAAACATTCCCACACTCAGCATACCCACACTGCAGAAGCACAACAAAAGTGAAGGCTTTCCTAGCTGTAACCGTGGTCGAGGTCGATAATGGGGTCATGGAGGCGCGAGAAGAAACCGCTACTACTTCTCATTCTATTGCCACTGTCACAACATGGTGACAGTAGGGCTGTTGCTACTGACGCTGCTGCTGCTGCTGCTGCTGCCGACACTGCTAACGATGAGGGTGATGACGATAGCACTGATTGGACGTGACAGGTCTTGTGGTGCAATTGAAACCACCACTTCTTTCCCTCAAAAACGACCAACTTCCTTTTTCTCACCTCCCTTCTCACCCCACTTCCACCCTATCCTCTTCCTTCCCCTACTCCCCCCCTCACCCCCTACCCTTAATCCACACACCCCTCTTGCCGCCTCCCACCAAACCTCCTGTCCTCCCCCACCCACCACCCCCCACCTCCTCTCATCTCCCTCCTGTCACTAACAGGAAAACACTGCCAAGTGACATTCACGTCAGTAGCGGATTTGGGTGGGCAAAGCAAATGGGAAAAAATTGGCTTGAAGGACCAGTCCCACTTTCATGCACCCTCCGCCACTGCTGCATCCTTGCATTCCCTCCTCGTCTCGCTTCGCCGCGCATTTGAAGACGTGCGCGTGCACACGCCTTCACATATGCACATGGGTACGTCACAAGGTGTCAACAGAAACGCCACTCCCCACACATCCCATGCAACTACCACTGCTTCACCTCCCTCACCACATGCTGACACACTAGCGCTGAATGCAGCGTCGGAGGCCTCTCTGCTGCATCCCGCCCACAATTCACCCACATACCAATATCCACGAACAGACTGCGCCCAGACAGCGCTGAACGGCCACCCTGACCTGACTGGTGGGAAGTGCACTTCGGAGGTACCAAATGCATCCTCCCTACTTGCCTACACACACTCTGTGGGATCGAGTCACCCTTCGGCGTGACAAGCGATCATGAGCTCATTGTTGCTCATACTTGTGAGACACATTCGCTCTCACTCCCAATGGCACATCTCACGGACGCGAGTAATACCAAAGTCCTCCTTCTCACCCACCTCCTCCACCTCCTTCCCCATTGACCACCACCACCACCACCACTTACTGCTTTTCTTCTGCTCTTTAGTCCTACTCTAACGCATGTCCCATTTATGCCCTCTCCTCATTCCTCCCCCTCCCTACTTCCCATGTCTATTATTGCCAGAAAGTGTGCTACCCACATCGTATCTATTTGTCGTCACACAACATCGTTTCTCCCCACCTTCGACCGACTGCTCCCATCTACTTCTTGGAGCCAATGCCACCTCCCACACCGCTGCTCACGCCTCCACACTCTTCATCGCGTCGTTTGGCCTCTGCCTCATGGCTTGCATGTTGTCTCTCGCCCACCAGTTGCTCCGCTAGCTTCATCTCCAACACCACGACTTCTCGTCGTCCTGTGTACACGTCATTACTTCTTCACTTGCACAACATCAATCCCTCCACGTTTCGCAGTGAAGTGGCCATCGATGCGCCCAGTCGCGTCTCCTAATTGCCTCTGTGATATTAGGATGTGCACATGTGACACAAAGTGGAAGATTGGGAAACTCACCATTTGCATAAACAAAATACGCCGAGCTTCCTTTCTTTCCTCCCTTCCCTCCCTTCCTCCTTCTCTCTACCTTCCCTCCCTTCCTTCCTTATTTCGCTACGTGATGCAAAATCTATTTGTGCAAGATGCCATGTGCCTCGAAGCAAGAAAC